GGCCAGCTACTGCAGTAGTGATCCTCAGAGATGTTGCAACAACTATACAGGGTATCTGGTATTGTGAAATCTCCTGCTGTACAGGCTGGTGATTTCCATGCTTGAGCTCCTTAAATGATTGATCTGTGGAATTGATGGAGAACAGCTGAGCCCCAGAAGCAAGTCTGAAGTCAGTGAAGGCATTTATTTTGGTTATTATGGATATACATCACTTGCCACACAACCAATGTTCATGCAAAGCAACGCTTCACAGCAAGACATTGCCTCTGAAGCCAAGTCCTCTTTGCCCTTGAGTATTTCTAGGAAAGAAAACCTGAACCCACACAGAGCTGTACAGGGTGGTTTCTACCAGCATGCTCTCTGGTCCTTTTTGTAGTTGCCTGGCAACTAGAGAAGAGAGGAGGAGGGTTTGGGATCATGGAGACATCTGAAGAAGCAGATTATTTCTAGCAAACCAACTGGCCAAATCAGCTCTTGGTTCTCCTGAGCTATTCCATTGCAATAGATTATCTGCACTGGCCCTTTTTAGATGAGTGTCTGCTGGAGGTGAGGATTATGATCCTGCTTGAATTTCAGATGAGTTTCATCCTAACATGAATACTTTGGTGTTGCTAAAACTATTCTTGAGTGGGCATAATTGAGGTAAACAAGATTTGGTCAGTGCATTGAGTTTACCTGTAGCATTATAGCTACACTGTGAGACTGAGCAGTGCCCTTTGGCTTAAAAGAACTAAAAAAAGAGTTCAGCTCAGCTGTCCCTTCTAAACATGATGTTTAGCCTCAGATTTTGAATGAGATGTTCTTCCTGGTAGTTAAAAGGGTTGAGAACTCTGGAAGGTTAAATAGGTTTTTCTAATTCAAGAAAACAAACAAAAAAGCAGAAGTCACTGCAACTGATAAACTAATTATAGAAAAATGTTACCAAATCACAGAATCAGAGAATTGCTTAGGTTAGAAAAGATCTTTAAGATCATCAACTCCAAACATTAACTTTTCACTGCCAAGTCTACCACTAAACCATTATCCTAAGTAGCACACTTACACATCTTTTAAATACTTGTAGGGATGGTGACTCAACCACTTCCCTAGGCAGTTTTTTCCAATTCTTGACAGAGCTTTTGGTAAAGAAACTTTTCCTAATATCCAATCTAAACATTTCCTGAAACAACTTGAGGCCATTTCCTCTTGTCCTATCGCTTGTTACTTGGGAGAAGTGGATGACACCCCCCCTTGCTACAACCTTCTTTCAGGCAGTTGTAAAAAGTGATAAGGTCTCCCCTGAGCCTGCTTTTCTCTAGCCTCCTTTTCTGCAGTTCCCTCAGCTGCTCCTTGTAAGACTCGTTTTACAAACCCTTCACTTTAATTTACTGAAGAAAGTAAAGATGCCGATAGAAAAATGTTTAGGTTTTTTCCATAATTAAGATATGATACCTAGGTGGTCTTAAAAAAAACACCAAAACCAAGTTTATTAAAATAACAAGCAACTATTGCTGAAGAATGAAAATTTATTTTAATCAGGGACATTGAAACGTGTTTTCAGGGGGATGACAATATGTTTCTTAAAGTCCACCAAACACATATGCACTAGCATTGATGCCCCAGGATAATGCATCAGTCTAACTAGGCAAAATGCAGCTTCTCCCAAAGGTATCTCACTTCAGAAAATAGAATCTCAGACCATTCTAAGGAGCCCATTCATTTTCTGCTATGCATCACCCTTTCCTTTTCTTTCTCACTTTGTCCTCTATTCCTCAGATTTATTTCTGTGGAATCTGCCACGTGAAAGCCTCTGCTGCTCTTACACCATCCCAAGAGCACGTTTGCCACACTGACAGTTGTTAAAAAGGGTGTTGCAGTATATTCTGTATGAAAAAAATGCTCATTTCAACCTCTCAACTCTGTCTCTTATTCTCAGTCTAAAACAAACCTACATGGCTTGTGTGCAGCCTGACCTATTCCTGATGCTACAGTGCCATTAGCTAATAAATGCTTTTTGCAAGGCTTTGGCAAAATAGCTGGGGAGGGCAGGGAGTCTCATTTGCAAGTCAATAACCAATTAAAGACTTGTTTCCTATCCAGTTCCAACCAATTAGAGTTTAGACCTTATTAGCAACCTATAAAAGTGGTACCCAAGCACAAGGAAGAAGACCCTGTTAGAAGATCAACACCTCCAACTTAATGTTGCTGAAATATTGCCATAACATCCCAAGTAAAGCAGACTGACAATCAATCTTGGACCTCAGAAGGTGAAAAGGACATCAAATAAGGGGGAATTTATATCCTTGTTATTAGCTGCTTTTTCACAATTTCTTGAACTTTTAGATCCCTGTAGTACGTATGCTTTTGCTTTGGCAAGTATCCTGCTTGGAGTATAACACAACAATACAATCACATATTTCTCCCTGAATTTCTCATTTGCTTCTCGTTTTCATCACTATACACAGTTCCTTTCATCTAGGCATGAAGAGGGAGCAGGAGAAACTTTCACAGTTTACTCCATTTGCTTGCGTGTGTCATTTTCTTTAATTTTGAATACACTCCCACTTATTGTTCCTACCCTCCACAAGCGGCTTGTGCCCAGTGAGACATCATTTCAGAGAAGAACGCCAAAGCTTCCAATGGCAATAAATACTCTCATCAAAAATGATTATGAGGAAGGAGACATCTTCCACATAAACTACAAAGCTTTCAATTTTTTTCTCAAAGAAATGTTCTTTATTTTATTCAAAAAATACCTCAGCTATTTCAATTGAGAACCAAAAGACTTCACTGAAAAGTTTCTACTAAAATAATTATTTTCTTAGAAGGCTTGTAACAGAAAATGTGTTCAGTTGAAAAAAAAATATTACACAGAGATCCAGCTTTGATGGAAAATATTCAGCAGTCCTACCAAGGATTCAATTCCTTAAAAAGAACTCTTGTAGCGTATCTTTAATTTGCTCAGCCTGTCAGCTTCTTCTGATACCACTGATCCTTCTTTTTGTCTTGACATTTTGGTCTCTTATTTGCTTTAATTCATTTCTTGGGGTTGGCAGAAGACTTTGCTCATCTTATTCCAATTTCCATAGGGTTTCCATGAGAAGAAGCTGGGACCCTGCTTCCTTCTCTTCTTCCCCATCTACTCTCTTAATGTTCTTATTTACCTTTACTGCATCACGGAGTCATGATCTGCCTTTCTATTCAGTGCTTGTCTGCAGTGAAGCCTCCTGCCAAGTCTTCCACCATGCTTCATGTGTTTATGTACTACTGCTGCCACTTCTGTGATTGCTCTGTGTACCCTTCGGCTGAGCACCTCTTACCAGAAATAAATTCACATTCATACTGAGAGAATTGGTTTGTGCCAAAGCTTTGCTCTCAATTATTAAACCCTTTGTCAGGGAGGCTTTGATGCTAGGAATTAACTTGAAAGGGATTTGATAACCAAGGGCCATATTCGTGATGCAGAGGTCTCCTGTGAAGAGCTCTTCCCCCTCCCCAGCATCTCCTGAATTTTGAGCAGATTCTCTAGTTGTCATGGCAACAGCCTAATTTGCTCTCTTTGTGATTTAAGTAAGCATCATGTAAAAACTCTACAGTAAATGATGCTAAAATATCTTAGGTTTTGGTAGTGACGTTGGGCAACTTGCCACATGGCTTAATTTAATTGCTCTGAATATGTCCCCAAGTGCATAATTCAAGGTTTCCTTTAACACAAAAGCTCTTAAAAGTTTGGATGGCTGCAAGGGAAAGAGGAGGAGGAAAAAAGCAGCTGCCATTCTTCTAAAGAGAAGCATCTCCAGGAACAGGAGGGCAGTTTTGTCCCATTTTGTGGCAGGGAAATCCATAACAGACAAAGACAACAACTTGGTTGAGAATTTTTCTCTCTTTAGATGACCTTAAACTCAGTGGGAAAGACAAAAACATCCACCATTCCTGTGCCCTATTCTCCTGGGGAAGGCAGTATGACTCCATCCTGCAGTGGGGCTTTGACAGAGTAAAGACAGTCTCACAATTAAGAAGATGGCAATAGCCACACATTATCCCAGTCTCCTGCCAGTCCTTCAACATGAAGACAGTGCCTAAAGAAAGACATTGCCTTTAGGAAAACTTCTGATCAGTGGCGGTCTGCCTTTGTAGCTGTGCTGATGCTTGGGCTTGACTTCAACCTCGTGTCCCTACTGTCTCTAGAGCCAGGCAGTCCTGGGAGAGGAGCCAAACCAAGAGCTGGTGTAGGAGTTGCTCGAAGGAGTTTGGGCTCTAGTGCAAATATGAACCTCACACTATTATGGTAGTAAGTATATAGACTCTGCTGAGTAAATATTAGACAGGGGAAGCAGAGTGGAAAGGGTGTCCTTGGACTTTGAGGGACGCAAGCTCCTACGAGGGAAGAAGCATGGCTTCTTTATCCTGCCTATTTTTCATCTACAATGGAATGAGGTGGCTGTAAATACTGTACCTGTGAACACGTATTCGCAATAGCTTTCAGTGTTGCTGCCACTGGTCATTAAAAAGACCTTCTGGCTGCTTGGTCTGATCTGAGGGTGGGAGGGGTTGTTCCACTGAGCTCCTCCACTTCCAGCACCAGTCCCATAACAAAACTGAGGTGGTAAGAGGCAAAAGAGGTGATCTGAGGCTTGATTTAAACAGTGGTGACCCTGTTAAGGGAAGCTGCAGTGCTCTGTAACTCTTCAAACAAAGCATAACTTGAGGAAAAAGAGCAATGTTTATTTTGTTCATTTTGGGAAAACTGTTTCTTGGAAAATACAGGCACAGTTAGATGTCACTACAGATTTCTGGTCAGGAAATAAAAAAAAAAAAAAAAAAAAGGCAAACCAGAACAGCTTAGTCATTTGGTCTGAGGGAAAACTGTCAGTTTGGTGTGCTTTTTTTAATGTGGGGATTCAAACTCCCACAGCAGGCATGTGAAATCACAGTCCCCTAGCAGTGCGAACCATGTACTTGCATCCTTTGGATAACTGAACTGACAGGATGACAGCGCAGTTGCTGAACAGAAGATGTCGTGATACAAGGCAGACTCTCCCATTTCCTTGTGATCAGCTTGTCTTGTCACTCCCTTCTGCAGAATGGTTTTATTCTTTTCTCACACCTTGTATTCAAGGAAGAGGCAAAGTGTTTGGAGGGCTGCTGTATTGCTTTGCCTGGACAGAAATCTCTGCATCCACCGAGACGGTAATGGCCATTCACCAGGAAAATACTGTGATGGGCTGGGGGTAGATGTACAATGATAAAAAGGGAATGCCATGGCTTTAGTGGGAGGAGGACAAGAGGGATGAAATGGGAAATACAAGCGGGTAATCTAAGGTCTCCTTTTCAGGAGAGTGACAGATTCTGGTTTCTTTACCCACCTCTTTTTGATAAAAGCCTACCAGTGGGGGTGAAGTCTGTGACACCAGAGCCTGCACACCCTTGTTGTTTTACTAAATTATTCATCCTGTTCCTGTGATAATATAGTTATAAGGAGGAGCCTAATTGAATTTACTGTCTGGCTTTGGCCAATAGGGCGATAAGGATCCAGCAGAATGGGATGACGGTGAATCCTGCTAGTGTGCTGTGAATGTGAAGCAGGAGGGACTGGCAGTTTGTGTGCAGGAGAGAAAGCAACTCAGTCCAGGGCCCCTGAATTAGCAGACTAAGGAAAGGTAAGGGAACAAGTGGGAACAGCATTTGCCAGATTCATGTACTGACCCTGTGCTGCAAGGCTGATTTTGTTTATAGGAAAGCACTCTGCAGGCAGTGTTTTCCTGCAGGGTTTGGAGAGAACAGGAATGCATGTGGTGGCACTTGCTCAGTGCATGTAGCTTGTGCCTTTGTCTTTATATGTGCTGCAGGGGTTTATAACATTGCGTGTTCATTGTGCGCGTCTGTATGGAGATGACTATGTTTTATGTGGATAAAGCAGCAACGTAGGAAGCCTGTGAATTATAAATGTAATGAAAGGAGTCAAAAGGGAGAAATTACCTCATGGGCAGTGTGGGGAAAACAGTTGTGCTTTCTGGTTCGATTAAAAATGGTAATGCTGAGGTTCTTAGTGAGCTGTTTGCCATTAAAAAAGAGCAAGTGTGTGTGCATCTGTTTGTGTATGTATTGGACCTGCAGTGAGATGTTAAAATGGGAAAGAGGAGGTCAGAATGGAGCATTAGTCGTGGCAGGTGGAGATAAATTACAAGCAATCTGCGTAATCAGATTCTCTAACATGGAGAGTGCAAGTGAGTAGGAAAGTGGATTAATCCTGCCTGCAGAGCCAGCTACACCTGGAAAGCAAGGCCGGGGAATCAGGATAGGTTATTTGACTGGCCAGAAGAACTGAGGATCAAACCCTCCTGTTTTCATGCTGCTTAAGTGCTAACCTATAGAGTTGCTTCCACAGATTTCTTATCTCCCTTTTAATGATGCTAAGAAAGGGTGAGCATCACTGAGGATCAAGAACCCACAGATTAATGTTATCTGGAAGAGCAGGAGCACATGAAGCAAATTAGCCTCTGCCCTTTCTTTTGTTTCACTGGGTTTGCTTTGATAACAAGTGACTGCTAAACAGACAAGGCAGGTAGGGGAAGCTGGATTACAAATGTGACAAGTGGTATTAAGCTGTGTAGACAGGGAAGGTTGTTTGCAGTGATAATGCTGTAATTGCCCTTCTGCAGCTTACATCTTTGCAAGCCTTTAAGACAAGGCTGTCCCAGGCTTGGTAACGTAAGTCACTAACCTGAGTGGGATCACAGCTTGCTGTAAGGCATTAACAGGTCTGTCTGCTTCTCATATGCTTTCCTCTACTCGAATTCTTTTTAAGCTAGGATCCAGAGGAAAGTGTTATTGAGACAATGTTGCTCACCTGTGGATATCTCATCTCAGTTGGAAACTTACTCTTATGATGAGTGCTGAGGGAGATGTGCTTATTCTGTGATCTCAGAAAGCAATAGCCAGAAGCTCCCTCTGAAAAGAGCAGTAAGGCAGAAAGCCTCATAGGGAAAAGCAAGAAAATGGCTTGTCTTAGATTAACCAAACCTGTTTGCCAAGTAAGTTCTCCTGCCTCCCTGACATCAAATTTCATTGATCAAGGGTCAACTTTCCCCTACCTGAATTCCCTTTTTTTTTTATTGTGGTTTTGTCACATGCCCTGAAGATGGGTAAATACAAACCCAACAGACATTCCCATCAGAGACCACCTCCATGCTCTCCTGAAGTCTCTGGGATGTGCTGCTGGGGGTAGTGGGCTGAGTCTGACCCCTTTTGTCTCACAGTTTGTGCAGGTGCCCCAAGTGAGACCAAAGGGGCACTCACCTGGCACAGGTACAAAAAGGCTCCACCTGTTTGGTGATGGAAAACTCACAGGAAATGTGTTGCAGATTCCTATAGGATGGAGTCGTGCTCTCCCCATCTCACCTGAAACAGCTGACTGAAATACAGGTGTAAGACAAGGCTTGATTTCTTGCCTTTCCTGTCCTTCAGCTTCTCTTAAAGAAAACATGGTCATAGTTGAATTTGACTCCAACTTTCAAAGTGCTCACAGCAACAGAATGAGCTAAGAAATGATGCAAAACAGGCCTGGTCATCTCAAAATAAACTTTCCCATTTCTGCCCCAGGATCAGAGGAATAGCTAAATAACCTGTTTATACACATACTGCAAAAGGCTGCATAACTTCCAGGTGCAGAGTAGGAGCCTGTCCTTACTAAAAAGGAGGTAGATACTCAGTCCACCTGGAGAGTCCATCCCTCTGCACATCAGAGGAAGCCATTTACACTTGCCTGTTTTGGGATACTCATCTTCCTTGGGATAGGCACATGGCGGGCTTTGGCAGGAGGAGCATCTCTCTGATGCTGCAGCAGCAGTAACCTGGCATTGGCTTGCAGCTTTTATCACCGGTTGGGTGACTACATTGTTTGCTTCTGCCCTCAGAGTCAACACCAAGGGTCAGGAACAGGCAAAACGCCAGCGTATTCCCAGGGCAGCTTACGTCATTGCCAATTCACTGGTGCCAGAGACTGTGCTGGAAACCTGAGGTCTCTTTTGCTGTTAATTGCCCAGATGATTAATTCATGCAATGATATAATTTTCTTGGGTGGAGGCTGGGAGGTTGTGTACTCTAGTAGGGGCATGATGGGTGGTAAAAATTGTGCTCTTTATTGATGTTAATGCTAATAACAGCAAACTAGCCACAGTGTTCTCTGCATCATCTTTCCTCCCCCAGAAAGGGCAGAAACGGTACTGGCTCTCCCCTGTTGATGTGTGAGCAAGAGCTCTTCTGAGATTCGTAACGTAAATTCTACCCTAGAGGACTGAAACATAATGCCCTTAACTTTCACAACTCCTCTGTAATAAAGGCTGTGGCTTTAATGTTAACATTTAATTCAGGCTTCTTTCACCTTGCAAATCTCACACTGCCTTTCAAAAATTCCTTGTATTTATGTCATTTATGTTGCACTTTCTGGCAAGAAAAGAAAGCAATTCTCCTAATTTTTTGAATTAAAAAAAAAAGAAGAAGAAGAAAAAGAGGGAAAATGTGATTTTGGTTCTTATTGCACAGTGACTGGTATATTATATTGTGACATTCTCCCCTCAGAGGATGCTGCTGTCTATAAGGGTGTAGGATCACTTTTTAGTCAGCCTGGAAACTCTTCAGAATGCCTCACTCTAGGATATTTTATTCTTTTTTTATTTTCTTTTTAGGCTAAAAATCCCTTTCTTGACACCTTAATAGCTAAGCAAATAAGCCCAGAATTCCCAGATGGAGATAACAAAGAGCTGCCCTGACCCGGATACAATTAGTATCTGATAAAGGTGCAGTGACTTGATCTGATAATCTATGGGTAGGTGAAACTGCTAGCTCGAAATGTCAAACAAAATACCCAGGACATTTTCAGAGCTGTTGTAAGAGCATTTGCTTTCAAACAATGTCACTGCTCTGCCTCCTGTACCCTTCCCCCTTGCTCATTCCAGTGTTTCTCTTCTCCCCTCAGGCCTCCATATTTTTGGCTGGCTTTTGTCCCTAGAGATATACAAAGCACTGGATCATAAGTCTTCAAACAGATTTTCTAAGACCAAATAGAAACCTTCCAATTTGTAGATATGCCTGTTATTTGTGGGACAAAATGGTTTCCTTTCTGTTGAAGCAGTGAGGAAGACTTGCTATCCATTCTAGGTAGTTTTTCACTTCTTCCTGTCTTTCATGGTTTGTTGTGGTATTCTCCTATTTATCTAGGTAGAGTAAACGTAATGGAATTTTTCTTGAATGCCGACAAACAATAGAGATCTGATTAGCAATTGTAACAGATTTGTTACCAGTTCAGTACTGTCAACTTATATATATATATAATATGGTTATTAAGGAAAATTAAGTGATTATGCAGAACTAACAATGTCTGTACTAGTGGCCGTCCAATTCCAGACACTCATCCATTGTCTGTTTAATGAGAAATCATCCTACTGGGTCTGGGAAGCAAAGTTTGCAGTATGAGTTTGCTGCCATTATCAGACTACACCAGCCACAGGAAAGGTAGCCCGGGGCACATGCTTGTAATTCAGACTCTGCTCATAAAGGGGAAAAAATATAGTGAGATGACCTTGGAAAAGTAGGAGAAAGAGTCTGTGATGGGCTATCATGAGTGGGAAACAAAGGAGATTGGATGGAGTAGGTAAGCCTCTTTTCCAGGCTTCTGGAAACTGGGAGTATTGCCTTCAAATCACTTCAACTGGGAATAAAGCATGTTAAAGCATGGGCTTCCCTGTTTCTTCTTATACACAGGAACAAACACATGCATATCAACTCCTTTTAAAAGATGCCAACAACTGTTGTCAACCAGTGTCTTAGGCCAGCTCTTCATGGTTTGAAATGGCTGCTTGTTCAGCTCCCTGGAGTCTAGAAAGTTTGTTACCTCAAGCTCTACGTGATTTAATTTTACATTTTATTGACAATGGCAGAAACACAGAATGAAATATGGTTTTAACTTGCTGGGTGGAGGCCTTTAAAACCACAAGGTTGTTTAAGAAAAGATACTAATAAGCCACTTTTGGTGAAAGTGATAGCTAAAGCCATTCACGTTGCTTGGAAGAGAGTAAGAGGTTAATTGATGCATCATTGCAAGTGAATGGAGAAAGTCCCACTCCACTAGGACTTCCAAGCTTGGTGGAAAAAACCCAGCCAGAAATGTTTGTGCCATACCTCTTATATAGTGAATGTAAACCATTTTTAATCTAAAAAGACTGATAGACTTTCACCAGCACTAAATTAACTTCATAAGCAAACACAAGCATATTTACACAGGACCATTAGAAAAGCAAAACCAATAGCAGCAGAACATTCAGCTCCAAGATGACTCAAACCTTTAAAATCTGTTCTTTAAAATATAGTAACACTCCTTCTTTAGAGAAAATGTATTATTTTTAATATAGGGTATCTTGGCCCTGTGTGGTTGCCTTCTTTTGAATAATACAGTGAACATATCCGTTACACTGTCATCTTCCTCCTCCACTTTAATCTGATTTGCTCGGTTTAGAGTAAGGCTGAACAGCCCTACAGAACATCGCAGCCTAGGAATATGTCAAAGACTTTCTTAGCTGCAGAAACACATTTGCTTGACTCCACAGAACAAGCTGATGAACTCTAGAGGAAGATGCTAGAAAATATAGATCCTTCTCAGAGA